AGGACTATCAGAGGCCATATCTGTGCACCCAGGAAGGATGGTTGTTAGTCACAGTTCTTCCTGGACATACCAGAATTAATAGACTGGATTTCAAGATCTTCTCTTATATATTATTTCTAATGTCAGCAGCTTTTGTGGCAAAATAACTTGAGTTGTGTGTTGTAAATGTTTTTTTTTTCTTCAGTTCTTGACTTGTTCTAATATACTGAAGGAGTTTATGATGTATCTGCTCTTCCTTTTGGTTGGTTGGTGTGTTTGTAGTTTGGGTTTAGTTGGCATGTTTGTTTTAGCAAAAGCTCTGTTTTAAGTATAACAGTACTTTGTCCTGAATTTCCCTTGTCTGAGGAACCTGTGTAGGGGTTACATATTTTGCAGCTCTTGTCCTTTGTTCAGAGCACCTCAGAGGGTGACTCATTTCCTGAGCCTTTTCATGGCAGACAGGTATTTAGGGAACCATGTGCCAAAGTGTTATCAGTGCCTGCAATGAGAATTGGTGTTTCAGAGTTGTTCAAACATAATGTCTGGCCTGGTAGTAAAAGGGATGTGGGATTGGATATTTGGCATCCAGATGTTACTCCCTCATGCTCTAGTCCCCTGTCTCCTACATGGCAGCTGACTGATCTTTCAGGGTAAAGCATTTAGTGCCTTCCATACTCTCCTGGCTGCTTGCTTAGTTTTTTACCAAAACGGAAGGATTTTTGGTCTAAAACAGCATCTGTTTCCAGATTTGATCTGTCTCTGGAATGATGAGAGCTGATAATTTAAACTTCATAGGCATAAATGTAAATACTTTGGATTGTCAGGATAAGTGCCCAGATTTCTGAAATCCAGAAATACTTCACTGTTTGTCTCCCTGTGTCATGATTCCCTTATGCTTCATTGCACACTGCATGTGGACATTTCCCTTCTGTTTTCTCTAAGCAGGTAGTACTTGCTGCTAATTTTATCTTGCATCGTGTCAAGGGAGACTTTTTTTGATAGCTACCACTGATAACCAGATTTTCTTTCTCCTCAATTAAAAAAAAAGGCGGGGGGAAGTGTGTACAATTAAGTGTTTGAAATAGATGATGTAAATTACATCTCTAGAGTTTAAAAATCTTTTTATTCTCTGGAGAAACACATTCTATTCAGTAGCTGTTGAAGGCTTCCTACTGTCCTACTATTTAGGGAATTAAAAATTTTTCACTGGTTGGTTCAAAATAGGAGTAAAGTGTTTAATTAGTGATTCTCATTGTTCTTGAAAGAAACAGCAGACACAAAAAAACCCTAATGTTTTTCTTCTCCAGATGTAAAGATCTGTTTTGATAGTGAATGATGTTCTGGGACTGCCTAAACCATCTAGAGTAAATCCAAGCCAGCACTCCTAGTGATAAATATATGGGGTACTTTTAAAACACTTGGCGATGGAAGAAAACAAGCTGCATGCATCATTAAACTGAAGGATCTGGGGAGAAACTGCAGCTTCAAAAGTAGTACAGATTTTTTATAATAGTAGTCTATGAAGCTAAGACTGTTTGTTTCCTTTTCTGTTGAGCTGTCCTTTACATGACTTGTAATTTGTAGGTAGTGTCTTTTGTTCCACTAAGAAAAATATGTTTCTATAATGATAACACAGATATTCCTCTGGTTGTGTTATTTCACTACAATTATTAGCTTGTTCATGTAATGGTTAAATTGCGAATAAAGGACAGAAAAATGCCATCTCACTTGCATGCAAATTGCTTTTCTTTTTTCTGAAGGTATTCAGTGTATAACACTTTCTGAGATACTAATTGTTAGTTTCTTAAAGAAATTGCTACAAGTAGTACAAAGTAGGCTGATTTTCCCCCTTGTTGATAACTTGTACAGTTTTTTACACCATTCTGTATCAGGAATAATATAGAAGGCTGAGACAGCTGATTACATTGATGACTTTGCCAAGCATTAATTCAAATGACTGAAAATTCTGCTTTCCTTACCAATTCATATGGGAAGGCTAAATTTTTCAGTTCTTGCTGGATGTTAAGGAGCAAGTTTGATGCGTGAGAGGATTTATGATTAAAAGGAGTGATCCCTTAGAGTAATTGTTTTTCTGATGTTTGTGATAGTTTGAGGATTGAACAGATTTCAATTCATAAAAGTACAGACGCGTAGGCATGTGTAGACATCATGAATGGTCTTTTTTGGGGTGATATAAGCCACTTGTAGATTAAAAAATGGAGTCGTAGAAATGAAGCTGCACTTAAGAGTTGAGCTTGGAATGTAAAATGCAGTCTTAAGTAAAACAATGCCTGTCCCCATCAGTGTTAAAGTTGAGAGTCCACATTCAAGCACGTTCTCATTATTTTAATGAAGGTTATGAACAGGTAGTAAGAGCATACACTCCAGTAGGTGAAAATTGCTTGCTGCTGTGCCATCACTACTTCATGACATTTTAGTTAATTATGCTGTCGATAATGACTTACGACTGTGCACAGAGAATTGAGATAAAAAGGAGAAATTGCAGTGATTTTCAAAAGTGAGACCAAAGAGGATTGCTGTCTAGAATGGAGGGATAATGCATTCCATGAGCTGCAATCACTGGATGACCACTAGGTTTGTCTTTAGCTGTAAATTAGGGGATTATACAACACCTGTATAGCATTAATTATTAAACAAAAGCAATTTCACAGTTTTATTCATTAATGAATTTTCTGTAAAGAGTGGGAGACTAGCAGTGTCTTCTTGTTACTTGTGATTCCCTCATTTATCATTTTTTGTAGCTACTCTGGTGGACAGTGCCTGATCTAACAAACCCTCCCCTGTGATGCTTGTCACCAGACCTTTTACAAGTTCTAAAGTAATAACTTGATACTCTAGTAGTAATGCAGGTCTTCTGAAATAAAATATGTATTTGTTTCATCCTTTATGCTCTCTCAGTGTTTCTGGCTAAAATTCAGGTGTTGAATATCAGAGGTACACTCTGACAAGCCTATTTTTTGGCAATTCTTTGACTGTAAATAAACGGACAAAGAGACATAAATGTTCTTTTTTTGTACATACTCAGTCACTGGTTGTTTCATAAATTACTTGGTGCCTTCCAAGCAGAATCGTACTAGTAGATGGTGTGCTGGTTGTACATAATATAGTAGGATGTAAAGTCACCAAAAATTAAATTTTTTCTTAAGCTGTCTCTTTAGTTCAATGTATTTTGCATTAGTTTTATCTTAATCTGTTGTGGATCAAGCTATAACAGAAATTCTGCTTGCATGCCTGCAGTCAGTATGGCAAGTTCTCTTTGTGTATGACTGTCTTTTGGAGATGTGTGTCTGATAGTGACAAAGTATTGAGTAATGCTGGTTCCAAAGAAAAAAGGAAGGTAAGGTAAGATACTAGGCATCTTAGGTGGCTTAGTCACTTAACGCAGTGTGCACATTAATATTTAAAACACAAACATAAACAATACTGGACAACATCAGATTAATTAAATGCAATTACAAGCACTCCCCAAAAGGTTTCCTTCCTGACAGAGCTGCCTGTGCTTGAGTCTTTTGTGCTGCTTGCTGAATGTCTCAGAACTGCTCAGAAAGAACAAAAAGACCTTTATAGAAATATCCAGCCCCAACCTGACTTTTTCTGGTGGTGTTTCGGGGTGTTTGTGTAGCACCATTGCGTCCTGTTGGTATGTGCTGAGTGTGGGCTGAGAGTAAGTTGTGCCCTTGGGTTTTAAAATGGTACAGTTAGCTGTTCTTGACCCAGTCAGGTCAAGATAGGTGAAGTTTTACTCCAGTTTTCTTTCTTTTGTAAGGGGAGCATAGGCTGTGCCAAAGGTATGTTGTCTGTGGGCAATAAGGGGGCACATGCTTGTGAAGACCATAATAATAAATCAATGTCCCAGTTCAATTCTCAGCTGTATCAGGCCTGCATAAATGTATGTACTTGTGAAATGTGTTCTTGCTGGGTTTGAATTGCTCAAAATTTGCCACAGTCATTCTGGTTTTACAGGTTATGCTATTGGCTCTGTAGACATGTGTTCACTCTGTATGAAAGAGTTCTGTATGTTATAAAATACTGCATTTCTTTCTGTTTAAACACGGGCTCCCACATTTCTTGCTTGTATATAATACATTGAAGTACCAAATGTAAGATAAGAAGCTGTCATGCTTTGTTCAATGAAACCAACTCTTAATTCCAGCTTTCATTTGTTTCATGCCTTGGCTGTAAAGGCAATCTAAAGCTTCAAAATCAGTAGGAGTCATCACTGCTAGAAGCTGAATTACTAGTGACACTTAAAATTCACATTTTAAGAATGTTCATGAATTGTAATATATATAATTGTCTGTTCAGAGGTCAGAAACTTTTAGATACTCATTTATTAGTTCTATTTGAGCCAAATGCTCAGCTCAAGTGCATGATCATTCTTCTAGCTCTAAATACTGTCTAATTTGTAACATTCAGCACAGTAATTCAGATACAATTTTTATTAAAAGAAAGCATGAGTCAGATATCAGATATCACTTCTAGCCAGTTTGGATTTGGCCTTTTTGGAGTAAAATGAGTCATAAAAGTGAAAAATAAATCACTAATTAGATTTTCTTAAATCAGTTTTCTTAAAAAATTCTGAACTTTCTGAAAGTGGGAGGTTTGCCTGGAAACCACTTATTATTTCCACCCTTATGATGGTGTTGAAAAATAATTAAGAAGTGACTCATACTATGATGTCATTTATGAAATATAGGTCCTTTTAGGACTCAAACACACCAATGAGCTAGAGTAGGCTGAGAGCAGATCTTGTGCTAGGTAAAACTTAGTGAATGATCAATCAATGGCAAAAAATGTGGGACGTAAGCACATTAGAAAACACAACTCAACAAGGAAACATGAAAAATAATAGCATTTTCATTGCATGTGACCACAGTGAAGCCTGATTAATTATTTGCATTTGTATTTATCACAGTATGAATAGATTTTTTCTTCATTTTTCTTACTTTCAAGTGCAAACTGATTTCAGTGGTTAACACTGATACTTTTTATCTTTGCAGTGTGCCGGGAAGACTCATACCAGTCAATAGTGTCATGTGCGGCTGTAGTACTCGCCCCTGTAGAGACAACAGTGGATACAAGGAAAAAAGAACAGATGATAATGCCTGATGTGTTCAAACAGTGAGTTATTCAAATAACATGATCTTTTACAATTGCAATTTAAACACCAGGCCAGATTCCTTCTCATGGATATGCATATACACCCTCCTTCTCTTTCCTCTAGGCTTCATAGGTGTTTCCAAAAATAGAAACTGGCCTGAGGCTAAGCTGCTGCTTTTGTTCATTAGCCTACATTTTTTCCCAAGACTTTTGGTAATGATATATATAAAGGCAATGAGCCTTTATATGCTGAGAAACTGACTTTTAAACAGGTTTGATAAGGTGATTCTTTTTGTTCAAATAGTCATTTCATTCTTGCAAGTAGTTTATTTTTATAAAGAAGGTGATTTGTAAATGCTCAGCTCATCTGCTATATTTCAGTATTTTCCAGTGACCATTTTAGCTCTGTGGCACAAGAGGCATCTTCAAAAGTGTGGTAGTGCATTCTTCTAGGGAAATTTTGTTTACTTAATTACAGTGTATTTTGTTATCTTGCATTAGATGAAAATCAGAGTATGTGGTAACATTTGCCTTGCAATACCAGGCTGGATGGTTATTTCTTAATGATTGAGTCCTTGGAGAATAAAAGTAATTTTGTTTTAATGAAAAGAAAGAAAACACAATTATAAGGCTTTATCATAACACAAACTTGAGGTCTGTGCCTTTTAAAGTGTGGAAGGTATTAAAAATATGACAATGGATAACATCATTCCTGTTCATTTATGTTTAATTTTCTGCTTCTCTTGGTATGTACAAGTTTAGCTTTAACATTGTCTGTGGAGTCCTGGCTTACATGCCTATTACCGTAAGAAAATTAAAACATTACCCCACATCCCTAAAATCCCTGAAAAATCCAAAACACCACTGGTGGATTAGAGTAGATTAGATGGGTTTTGATCTTGCTCCAGATCTATGACTTAAGTCTGTATCTGGGTGTGGTATCTTTTTCAACATGGTGATAAACCCATTTCATCTAGACTACCTCTACTCAAAATTTAACACAGTATGTTACCTACTCTCTAGATATTACTGCAAAGGTCTTGTGTTTGAAATGCTGTGGGCATCAAATTGTTATAATGCTTCTGTTGTGTGGTTCTCTGAATACCAAGAGATTGGAAAGGCAATGGTCTACAGAATACTGTGCTGAAATCCAGAATAATCTTTCTGGTTAGTTCACAGCAGCATAGAACATTTTTTCTTGTCTTCACTAAAAGGGAAACCTGCACTGTTGTTTGATTGGCTTTTTCATCTACTGTGATGAGATTCTCTTATGAATTCAAAGTAAGAAACTCTGATATCTGTTTAGCATGTGCTGAATGAAGTCATCTACCAGATTTTTGGCATGTTTGTTTTTCTTGTTTTTTTACAACCTGATTAGTGTTGTCTTCTAAGAACACAGACATAACTTTTCCTAAGCAGTCAGAGGTCTCAGAAACATGTTCTAACCTCTGCTACTCTTTCAATACTAATGCTTATACAACCTCTGGCTCTGGAATTCTTTCAACGAGGAACAAGATAGTGCTTACACAGATTAAATGTATTTTAACGTCTCGATATAAAACTATATCAGTGCACAAGTGTCTTTAAGCCAACATTTCTGACAAATATATTTGAAATTAAGCAGAACCATCTTGCTGGAAAAAGATTGCAACTGGAATTTGGTAAATTTTGTAGAAACTTTCAAAGTAATTGTAGGGAAGTGAAAGCAGGCAGCTTCAGGAAAATCTCCAACATTAAGGATGAAATATCAGCATACTGATCTTGCATTTCACCCTGTGCTTTCTACATGGAGATAGCTTTCTTCATATCTGGTTAATGGAAGCAAAACAGATCCTAATTCCTGTGTCTAAGTATCCCAGTGTCGTCTGTCTCCAAGGCAAACATGCCCTTGGTGTTTGTTGAATTCTGTGGACTGTAATGCAGACTCCATGTATCTGCATGTGTGGATTATCATTATTGATACTCAATTCATGTGGAAAACAACATAGATGCTTTGATTTTTATGCTTATATTTGTGTATCTATACAGTTTTGACTTGCTTGTCCAAAAATTGTGCATATCACAGAGGGCTGAGCAGTTGCTAGCCATCGAGGTCCTGTAGAGAGAAGTTTCTGCCTTCAGGCCCTACAGGGACAGAGTGTGTTTAAAATAACTAATGCTTTCTAAAGCTACATAAGAAAGTCTGTAATCCAAACCAGATAAAATGCATATTAATGATAATAAAATGTTAAACAGTTACAAATAGCTAAAAATAATTCTCTTGTATGGCACAGTAAAATTACATCCAAGACATTCAGGACACAAGAAGCTGTGAAGACTGGGCAGGGAAGTAAAAGAAAAAGCTCTTAATGCTGCTTGTATATAATATTTGATTAATGATGTTATTTTGTTTTAGAAAGAAACTGTTTAGTGGCTTTAAATAATGTATTTGCCTAATGTATTTTTTTTGTAAGCAGCAAATGGTGCCAGAAGTGGTAGCAGCAGACCTTAAAGAGATTTTAAGTGTCCATGATAAGTTCTTGTCAGGATTGCAGGAATAAAGGGCCAGTTTTTCCCCCTACCCTGTGTTTATTCTTGGTAGCTCAAACCATTTCATCGGGGAGTAATTTCATAGTGGTCGCCAGGTAATTGCTGACTTGTTGCTTGTGCACTGGGCAAAATCCCTACCTCAGCTATTCACCAGGCATGGATTTGGCAAGAGGAAGAGCACGCCTTAGTGATTTTTGTCTTTCCACTCCACAACAGGCATTGAGGCAGAAAAATCAATGGCCAGTGTGAGGTTAGGGTGACAAACAGGAAATGTGAGCTCTTCCTTATTTTGTTTTCTCAGCCCTCTACTTTGTCTAGGATGTTGCATTAGTTTTGCCATATTTTGTAGAAATAAAGGCCTTAGAAACCTCTTGCTGTCTTAATAGTTCAAGTTACTGAGGCCTCTTTCTGTTGCCATAGTGATACATCAGTCAGTTGTTCTCAAAGGTGTCCAGATGCTAAAACAATCGGAATATTTTGAACAGTGAATTCTGCTTACAGAGTCCTAATTTTAGTCCTCCCCATTTGAATTATAATATAAATAAATCAGCTGCTGGCACAGAGCATGAGGAATCCTCACTTCAGTTTCAAGTTCTTACAAGGCAGCATGGGAGAGGATACATGGCCCAGGGAACTGTATGTTATGCTTTAAATCAACTTAGCATCTGCATCACTGGCCAAACTCTCGGGCTGAAAGGTCAGCCTACAAGGGGCAGTGTGGAAAAAGAAGTGTCTGAAGACACACGAGTCTTGGAGCAGATAGTGTTCTGCTGTGTGATGTTCATAGGTAAATGCAGAAAACTATTAATGTACTACTAGTGCATGAAAAAAGTATAGTGAAGTTCAGGTGCACCATTTTAAAATCAGATTTAAAGTTAAGCTGATAGTTGTGCACTTCATTTGATGTGTTTCTTTGGATATGACTACCCTGCAGTTCAGAATCGTGATGGCAGCATGCAACCCTCTGAACTGTCTAATTTAAAGGTGGTTTCTGCATTAGTACTTCAGTACTTCAGTCATATTTCTGATTTTGATTTTTACTCAAAGGTATTATTTGCTGTAAAAGTGTTCTTGGAGCTACAGATTTTATTATGTCATGAAGCAGACACAGTAATTTGACAACTCTTTTTCATGTCAGAAATATTTTCCTGAGTTGTAGGAGAGATTTACAGATGAAGAGCCTAGAAAAATGATAGGATGAGTGGCAATGTTTTTAAGCTGAAAGAAGGTAAATTCAGACTGGATCTGAGGAAGGAGGTTTTTACAGTGAGGATGGTGAAACACTGGAGCATGTTGCCTAGAGAAGTTGTGGATTCCCCATCCATCAAAACATTCAAGGGATGTTGGATGGGGTTCTGAGCAACCTGATCTAGCTGAAGGTGCCCCTGCTTATTGCAGAAGGATTGGATAAGATGGCATTTAAAAGTTCCTTACATGTCACCAATCATTTGACAGTTCTTCAGACTCTTTAAGATCAAGTTTTTTTTTTTTTTTTTTTTTTTTTTTTTTTTTTTTTTTTTTTTTTTTTTTTTTTTTTTTTTTTTTTTTTTTTTTTTTTTTTTTTTTTTGGTAAACCTCTCAATGAGCCTATGTAGTGAGTCTTTTCAATATTTTGTCTCTGCCCAAGCTCTTTCATTTGAACCTTGCAACTGTACTTACCTGAGCAAGGTTCTTAAGTGTGAGATCAAATACATGAGAAAGCTTCTTGAAATCACAGTGACTACCTGGGTGATGCTAAGGGGGAGAGTTACAGCTCTAATGCCATTCTGTACAGCACTGTTTAGTGCAGATGCTAACCCAGGATTTCACTACTGATACATATTGGAATCTAGGAAGATTTTGGTGCATATGTAGACTGAATTTATTAGCTGCAGTAAGCATATTCCAAAATTTAGGAGCTTTTTTTCCGTTCTCAGAGTTTCAAGTTGTAGGTATATAATTGCTACATCAGAAGACTGGTAATCTTTTTGACTCTTGAAGCCTTGCCTAATTCCTTTCAAAAGAAATTCAAACCAAGCTGATTATGTATTATTCTTCACTTAATCAGTTTGGATTTTCCTTTCATTTTTTTCTCACTATGTTTTTTTTTTTTTTCATTTTTAGTAAATCCCAGAGAAGATTTTCTTTCCTCTCAAAGCAACAGTGATCTTAGATTACATCTGTAATTTTTGTGCTTCTGTTTATCCATTATTGAGAGATGCCTCTGCCGGAATTAAAGTGTAAACATGGGGTTGAGGTGATACCAGCAATATGTGTACATGCTTCTGCACAGTTTGCCAAATTCGGAACCCTTGTCTGAATGGATTACCTAGGATATGCCAGGCCTGGAGCCAGGCCACCCTGCCACTCCATCCTGTGCTTATCTCATGGCAAAGTCCTTCTATGGCCTTAAAATCACATTTGCCTGTCTCAAATGCCATTTAAGTCCTTACAGCCCCTCAGTGATGATGTGAAGTGTGGTCTCTAAAACAGCTGCGTTGTCAGGCAGTGGT